GCCATGAGTCAGAATGGACTCACTGGCAAGTGTCTATTAAATATAAACTTCATTATAGCTCTATAAGGGAATTTTTTCTGCTATAAATGTAATGTTACAGGTCTCAGCAGGGGTTTGCTCCCTGGATATTATCACACTTTTATAGCGCTGTTTTCTCTTTGATGTGTAACTAATGAGACAGAAACAGAGCAGATGCAAAGAAAGCTCACAGCAACTCCCAAATACATGTGATTTAATCATAGCAGGCCCCAGCTGTTTGATCTTCCCTCAGTGAAAATGAAGTCATGCTTCATAAATTAGAATTAGACTTTGGGCAGACAGTCAATACCACTCAGTAGTGTGACTTTTGAAATTGTTACAGTTACATTTTTTTAAAAATAAATTCAGTGAAAATCTTAAATCTTAATTTTTATCCATTGAGCATACACGTGAAGTGTATTTACGTGTACCACCATAGTAGAACCATATAAATTGACACTTTTTTATTGCTTCTCTTTTCAGATAAAAAGGAATATGATGCTTTTGTGTCCTATGCGAAATTGAGTTCCTTGGAGAGTGAGGTCACTTCATCTCTGAGTGAGGAAAACTTGGCTTTGAATCTGCTTCCTGAGGTTTTGGAAAACAAATATGGATACACCTTGTGTTTGCTTGAAAGAGATGTGACCCCAGGAGGAGGTAGATCCTGCTTGCCAAGATACAACGTAGAGCAAAAAGGACAGTTGTAGGCAAAATCTTCCTAAGTTTTCTCTGTCATTCTTTCTGTTGGGATAGACATCTTATGGAAGGTGTTATGAGGTTGGCACATCTTGGGCAATAGCATAGAAAAAGATGTGTTCCAGAGATGTGAACCATTATAAAAAATAAATAAATAAATCTTCAGAAGAAAATATAATATTGGGTCTGATCGTGTGGAGCCCTGGTGGCATAGTTGTTAAGAGCTCGGCTGCTCACCGAAAGGTCGGCAGTTCAAATCCACCAGCCGCTCCTTGGAAACCCTATGGGGCAGTTCTACTCTGTCCTACAGGGTCACTATGGGTCAGAATCGACTCAATGGCAACAGGTTTAGGATGCCTCCCAGTACAGAGATCTCTCTACTGCATGCTTGGTAGAGAGTTGTCTCTGTCATAGTGGACAAGTGGTCCCTGCTCTCTGGGGACTGTGTCCTCCACCCCTAGTTTACTGGTGGGGAAGCCTTAGCCTTGGGTCAAGCAGGATCCTCAGGCCCTGGTGTTACTCCTAGCCCATCCATAAGATGTCCAGACCTCAGCCTGCCCACTGCTGCCTCCTCTGCCCCAGGTACCACCACCAAGGTACCTGGGATATTCCATGGCCCTATCTTATCTCCAGCTTACCTTGTGCCAAGAGCTTTGCTCCTAGAGGAATTGGAAGGTGGAGAGACAGAACACAGGGAGAGGAATATAAAACTGAGAGTCACTGAACACTAGAATACATTTTCAACTGTTGCTTGAAGAAGTGACATAGTAAACCAAGTTTTATTTTCCCTTACTTAAGAGCTTGCATTGCAAGGGAACTTCTGGATGGATCTAGAAGAATCAGGCTTATTGTAACTCAGAGTTTAATAATGACACTTTACAAATAATTAAATTCTTTATTTCCAGTGTATGCAGAAGACATTGTAAGTATTATTAAGAAAAGTAGAAGAGGAATATTTATCTTGAGCCCCAACTACGTCAATGGACCCAGCGTCTTTGAACTGCAAGCAGCAGTGAACCTTGCCTTGGATGATCAAACACTGAAACTAATTTTAATTAAGTTCTGTTCCTTCAAAGAGCCAGCATCTCTACCTCATCTTGTGAAAAAAGCTCTCGGTGTTTTGCCCACCATCACCTGGAGAGGTTTAAAGTCGGTTCCTCCCAATTCCAGGTTCTGGACGCAAGTGCGCTATCACATGCCTGTGAAAAACTCTAAAAGACTCACATGGAATCATCTCAGAATTATTTCAAGGATATTTTCACTAGAAAGGACTCAGTAAGTCAGAACCACTAGGAGGAGCTCCCAGCCTAGAGAATGGTGACAATGGGCCCTTGAAGACCTCCCCTTCAGTCCTGGGTGAGAAGAGGAGTAGAGATGTTGATGGACAGAACCCACGGCATTGATTGGGCTGATACAAAATTGAACTAGTCTTCTGCCAGCCCCAAGCAAGCTTGTCAGGCTCTGGAAGAAGATTAAGGCTGCAGTTTAGAGCCTTTGGTTTTCTGGACAGAGAGAGGGCAAGTTCTTCAGAACCTTGCACCCATTCAACACACATCCCCTCACATGGTCCCAGTGGTCTGAGCAGAATCAGCAGGTACAGCCACTTTTGCTTTGTGAACTGTCATGTCTACTATGTACTGTACATATAACTTTATGTACATTTTTAATAAAATAAATATTATTTTATGTCCCCAAGTATCACAAATAGTTTGCTCTCGGCTATTAACTGAAAGGTTGGGGGGTTCAAAGCCACCCAGTAGTGTCAAGAAGAAAAGGCCTGGTGATCTGCTCTCATAAAGATTACAGCCAAGAAAACACTATAGGGTTCAGTTCTACGTTGCCGTGAGTTGGAACTGACTAGACTGCAGTGGGTTTGGTTTGTGGTTTAGTGATAAAACTCTGCCTAAAGCGTCTCTGTAAGGAAGACAGTTCTTACTCTATGTTACCCAATGACTCTGGACCACAGAAAGCAAGTAGGAAAGGCAGAGACCAAGAGGACATGGAGCAGACAGTGCTATGGTTAGTCTCTACTGTATCTCTCTGGGAGGATGAACTAGGGGAAGGAGTCCCTTTTGGGGAGGCATTGAAGTCCTAGGCCAGTATGCAGGGCTTGGTGAGCAGAGTCGGGTTCATTTCAGCTCCTCTTTGTCCCCTTGGCCAGAGATCTTTGCGCAGGGCGTGAAGTACACAACCTTACTTGGGGAGGCTGAAAGTAGGGCCAACTGGGCCAAAAACAGTAAGCCAATGAAGAGACAAAGAATGAAGTAGCAATTATGTGCAAAGTAGAGAGGCAGTGGCAAGAGTCAGTAGTCTAGATAAGAGTCTGGGACATAGAAAGTGTATACACGAGTAAAAAACAGCAAGAATGGAGCTTAAACTGGGCTTTAGTCTGAGCCTTTTGCCTGTTGAGGCAGGCACTGCTTGTGTGTGCTTCCTGACCTCGCGGACTGAGTTTAAGTTCTCCTGAGTAATGGGGTGATATGCTGGAGCATCAAGTAGTTGTCCCTGAGACAAGGCTAATTTCAATCTCCTACATTTGCTCTTCTTTACAAAAGTTCAACCTGCTATTAAGATGGTGTTCTAGTCATACATGGATGGAAGACCTTCAACTTTGTCTTCTCTGATGGAAATGATCCATCATTTGAACAACAAAGAAAAGCAACTTCTAGACTAACTCGCTTATAATGGGTCACCTCCAGGGATCTGAATATGATCCATGTTCAAAGTGGCTAAAGAGAATTGTCATCTGGTCACTGCTTGGTTCCTGTGTGAAAATGCTCTTCTGCTCTTTCTTCATGGAGGCACCCACATTATAGAAACCACTGCGGTTTGGGCACCAAGCAACATCCTTGTTGGAAATTTCAGTGATAAAGTTAAAGACGAGTTATAAGGTACGAATTATTCCTGGAGGAGGTTTCTTGTGGGAAGGATCATTGTAGGGTTTCAGCAGGGAAGAATCCACACTATCGTTGTACCATTGTGCTATGGTGAGGGCCAGGATCCCTGAGTTCTTGCCGGCTACTTTCTGAGATCTGAGGCTCAAAACTTCTCTGGCCCATATATCCAGGTCTGGGCTTTCTAAGATAGATACTGTTGTAAGTGAGCTACCCAGAGGTCCAGAGTTTTGTCCTTAGCTTTGCAGAAACTCAAACTGAAACTCAGATTTGTACATACACAAAAAGAGAACTACCTAGTTCTAATATTTACACACTCTCTAGGTTGATAGGAATACTCGAGATCTTAAATTAGCATTCAGAACAAAGGGTTATTTACACTTCTTACATGTAAATCAATAAAGGAAAGTGGATGACTATTATTGATTGAATTGTGTCCCCCCAAAACATGTATTGAAGTCCTAATCCCTGTACCTGCAAATATAACCCTGTTTGGTAATAGGGGCTGTCTTTTGTTTTGATAATAAATCATACTGCAGTAGGGTGGGTCCTAAACCAGATCACTCAGAAATATAAAAACAGAACAATAGACAGAGACATAGGAGAAAGGCAGACACCATGTGTGGCCCCATCTACAAGCAGAGAAATGTTCAGGATTGCCAGTAGACACCAGAAACTAGGAGAGAGGCCCACAGCAAGAACTGACACGTCCAAGATCCTGCTTTGGATCTTTAGCCTCCAGAACTGTGCGAAAATAAATTTTTGTTCTTTAAAGCCACCCCCACTTGTGGTCTTTCCGATATGGCAGCACTACGTAACTAGGACAATGTCCAAAATAAATTTTGTACTGATAGGAGCCTGATTGTAATTGAACAATTGGTATCAGTGGAACACAATTAGAAAAAGGTATTATTTTCCCCTTACACCTTCTAAATTGAGGGGCCATGTGTCCTGGTTCTGGATTTATAGCTGTTGTACAAGGATAATTTTCACAGTGCTCCCTTTCACTCTGAAATAACGCTCCTAATTTGGATGATGGTCATCATACCTCTAACTCACAGTGTAGAGTACCCCTTACTGCCCCTGAATTACATCTCAGGCAGATCTCACAACCTTCCTGGTATCTTTGGGGTTTTAATACCAATATTATTCCTAGTTATTAAAAACATTTAGTCCATATTGGTCTCTACTCATCTGATGCAAAAGGGAAAGAAGGAAACCAAAGACTCAGAGAAGAAACTAGTCTACAGGACTAACAGTCTACACCGTACGCCATGGCCTCCTCTATCCCGAGACCAGAAGAACTAGATGGTACCCGGCAACCGCTACCGGCCGTTCTGATCAGGGCCATAATAAGTGGACCCTGACAGAACAGGAGAAAAATGTGGAACAGAACCTCAAATTCCTTAAAAAAAAAAAAAAAAAACAGCTTACTGGACTGGTGAGACCACTTCCCAGACTGGCCACTGGAAAGTACACATGTGGAATAGGCCCTAATAGAAAGGCATTGAAAACAGAACTGACATTGAAACATCAAGCCACAAGAGGCTGGTTATAACTTGAATCTTGAATCCAGCTGGGTCAATTACCTGCTAAATCAAAAAATATCAACATTCTACATAGGATTCAATAAGACTCAGAGTCGCATAACATAGTAATCACAATCTTCAGGATATAATATAAATTACTTTTCTTATTGAGAACCAGGAAAACCTCAGCTTGTATGGAAAAAGACAATCATCACCAATGCCGTGATGACACAGATTTTGGAGTTATTTGACCAAGACTCTAAGACAGTTATTATAAGCATGCTCTATTAAGTAAGAACAAACACTCTTGAAAGTCTCTGCAAAGGAACAGAAGATAAAGGAAAAAAAGGAAGAATCGGTTGGAAATTTTGGAACTTAGAAATAAAATAACTGAAATAAAAGTCTCACCGGTGAACTTAATAGCAGAATGGAGATGCCAGAGGAAAGAACCAGTGAACTTGAAAATAGATCAGTAGAAAATACCACAACCACCAGTTCCTGTCAAGCTGGTTCTGACTCATGGCAATCCCATGTATATTAGGGTAGAACTGTGTTCCACAGGGTTTTCAGTAGTTGATTTTTCAGAAGTAGATTGTCAGTTCTTTCTTTCAAGGTGCCTCTGGGTAGACTCAAACCTCCAACCTTTTAGTTAGAAGCCAAGCACATTAACTGTATGACCCAAGGTCTCCTCAATAGAAAGTATCTAGTCTGAACAAAATAGAGAAAAAAATGGCTAAAAAAGCACAGAGCCTTAGGTACTTTGGAACAACACCTAAAGGTCTAATGGAGTTCCACGAGAAAGGACAAAGAGTAGTGCAATAAAAAAAGGGGGGAGGAGGGGGAAATAGTGGCTGAAAACTTTCCGAACTTGGCAAAAGACATAAATCTAAAATAAAGAAGCTCATCCAAACCCAAGCAAGACAAACTCGAAAAAATTCATGCCGAGACATCAAAATCAAACTGCTGGAAACAAAAGACAAATTAAAAAATCTTAAAAACAACCAGAGAGAACCATGACTTATAGGCAAACGATGATTAAAATGACTGTGGATTTCTCATCAGGAACCGTGCAACCAGGAAGCAAGTGAAACAGCATTTATAACCCGCTGAAAGCAAAGAATTGCCAACCTAGAATTTTATATTCAGTCAAGTACTCTTTAAGAATGGAGGTAAAATAAAGCATTCTCAGATGAAGGAAAACTAAGAGCACTCACTGATAGCAGATTTACTCTAAAAGAATTGCTAAAGAAGTCAGATAAAAAAAAAAAAATTATACCAGAAGTAAACTTGGAACATCAGGAAGGAAAGAAGAGCAACAGAAATTATAACTATACGGGAAGTATAGCAGATTGTTGCCGTTGAGTCGATTCCGACTCATAACGACCCTATAGGACAGAGTAGAACTGTCCCGTAGGGTTTTCAAGGAGCAGCTGGTGGTTTTGGACCGCCAATCTTTTGGTTAGCAGCCAAGTGCTTAACCACTGTGCAACCAGGGATCCTTTCTATTCAAATCGACTCTATGGCAACAGGTTTGGTTTGGTTTGGCTTTATAGCAGATTGTTCTTTTCCTCTTGAGTTTGACAGTTTATAGCAAAAAATTATAACTTTATGTATGAGATTTTAAATGTAGGTAGATGGAATATATAAGATAGTAACATACAGGGGAGACTATAGAGGAATTTATATGTTTGTATATCCAACTACACTTGAAGTGGTAAGATATTGATACAAAGCAGGCTGTGAAAATAGAAGTATGTTATATTGTAATCCTTCGTGCACCCATTAAAACAAATGAAATAATTTAAAACATGATAGACAAAAAATAAAATACTAAAAAATGTTTATATAATTCAAAAGAAAGAAGGAGTGGGAAAACAGAGGAACAAAAAACTGAGGAAATAAATAGACATCAAATAATAAAATGGTAGATATAAATTCAAACATATCAACAATTACATTAAAGAGAAATTATCTAAGCACAAGAATTAAAGGGCAGATTACTAGGATTTATTTTCTGAAATAACCCAACTATATGGTCTCTACAATAAACACACTTCAAATATAATGATATAGGTAAGTTAAAAATAAAATGATAGATATAAGCATTCTGGGTGAACTTTAATCAAAAGGAAGTTGGAGTGCCTATATTAATATCAATTAAAGTAGACTTCAGAGCAAAGAAAATCACTGGGTATAAAGAAGGGCATTGCATGAGATAAAAGGATAAATTTGCCAAGAAGACATTAACAATCTTAAATGCGTATGCACCCAAAACAGAACATCAAACTACAAAATACGTAAAGCAAAACCTGACAGAACTGA